TTTCCATATTTCCTTTCTATTTCATTCCTCTTTTTATCCTCATTCATTTGGTCTTTATCTCATCTTATTTGGTTTCCTATTCCTCCTTTTCCATTATCCTTTGGTTTATCCTATTATTATAATTATATCACCGACCAGGCTCGGGATGTACTGGCGCGCTATATCTAGCGTAATCTTGCCGTAATCCCTTATAGCCAATAGCCTCGCGTGGCTATACGCAGGGTGATTCTATTTCTAGAAGGGTCTATTTCCTTTGGATAGGATAAACCTGGTTACCTGATGTACTCTGGAAGTATAAAAGCACCTTGTAGTGATTGATAGTGCAACATTGAGCAAACCTTTCCTCGGGACATTCCATCCTGTGACACTTGGTAATCAGAGCCAAGGGTTCAGCTCAACGCTTAACCGCTGGGCCCCCAGGAGCACGCGGAGGATGGAGTCGAAACTTCAATTCCTGTAAGTACAATGCACTTTCATTTAAGTTTCGACGCCCCTCTCGCAGTTGCACCTGGGGTCCCCTTCGAAGGCGAGATGCCTCGCCGACCGTTCGATGGACTGCATCGACGGTGCCGATTTTTCGCGGGGGCAAACGGCCTCGACCTGGCGAGCGCGTCAGTTCCGGCGGAACACTTCCTGCGACATTCGGAGAAGTTCGCAGTTCGCGACAACAGTTGGAGTTGCGCGGAACACTGCGGAGGTTCGACCGACGACATCCGTCCGATTGAGATTCGACGCTTCAGATCGACCGAGGCGAGAACGAAATCCGTCTGAGCGAGTTTGCGTTTCGGTGCGAATGGGAACGGGACCTCGCAAGCCGCGAAGGTTTTCGGAGCGTCCGATCATTCGACAGCTGACATCGACGACCGAGAATTGCTGCAGGAAACGAGTCAGCCCGGGCGCCGAAAGCTGCTGAACGCGACTCAGGAGTATCCTCAGATCGCTTGGAGTTTGGACCGTCGGATCGACTTCTGCTTCAACGGACGAGATGGAGCGTGAGTTCAGCACAAGGGGAGAATGACGCGCAGAACCAGAAAGCAGCCGCCTTCGACAACATTCAAATCATGTTAGCCCAATTCGGAATCCTACATTTGGTCACGAATTTGGCGCAAGAATCATCTGCGGAGTCAGAAATCCGCCAAAGTATTACCTACTTGGTAATTACTACAAGCAGAAAATTGACAGGAGAACGTGGATCGTCGGATCCGTGCGGAATCAACGGCACGAATACAGCAGAGACTACACTATGGGAAATCATCATCATGGAGACAACATTCGTGACCACCGACTGCACAATCGACGCATCTTCTGACTGGTGTCGATAACGATCGAGTTATTTTGACGAAGTCATCTTCGTTAAAAATGGATCGACATCAACACAGCGAATCTTCACCCATGAAAAACAATGGAGCTGCGTGAAGACATGTCCTCCATCCATGAGACACTTCTTCATACAAATTGATCGACAACCTATGGGATTGCAGAGAAGTAGCTGTTTTCTCTTGCAATGCTCCCAAGTTCAAGTTGCTGCGAAGGAGCAGATTTCGCACGCAACGACGACGCAGTGAACCTGTCTCGTCAAGGCCAGCGAGACACTACTTTGTAACAGGAGCTGACCGATTCGTCTTCATCAAGAATCTCAGCCATCCGAGGTGATTGATTGGAGCAGTCTCAACATCGACCTCACGAGGCGACACACCAATCATGCGTCGCGATTCCAGGTGTTAATGACCTGTGTGGAAGAAAATTCCGTGCACGTCACGATGCTTGACAGATTGAGGAGTAATTAACCTCTAATCCGGCAAGTACTCGTTCACTAGCGACCCTACGGCACATGCATTGGAGGCGATTCTACCAGAAGCCGAAGCGTTACAAGCATCAGCGTAACTTCGACGATGCAGGAGAACGTCAAGCAACACGAGGTGTCAACAAATGAGGGAGATGCGGACTACTACAACACGATCACGCGCTCTACCGACCGTACATCGGAGGCACGGATGAGCATACCAGGAATTGCTACCCGTGGATACTTTGAGGGGAGAAGCAAATTTCTCTTCACACCCTCAAATGAAACAATCACCGGCAGCAATGGAGCAACACATGTGTACCAATGTGCACGTGTTCCTGGTAGTTACGCCTGTTACACCCATCAGGTACACTCTACTGGGAAGGGGGAGTTGATGGATTCTCCTTCAACCGGTACGAGTTAAGAAAATTCTCTGCAGCAGCTGCCGCCGTCGCCGTCGTCGCTACCGCCGCCGCCGCCGCAGCAGAAGACTCGACACAACAGTCACAACCAAATCCTGATGGATGATTCTCCACTCAATGGAGATAATGCTGGATTATATTCCAGTGGATCGTTAAGTCCCGGCCAGGCACAGTACTATGATTTCCAGCTAGTGGGGAGGAGATACCACTATGCGAGGAAACAATATGGCAATGCCATATACCCTCAAGAGCAACAGATATTTGCTCTTATGAGGATGGGAGGACCGCGGTACTCTACCGGTATACAAGTCCTCATGGCCTATGGCTTTCCTTAAAGTCATAAAACCTGCGTCACAACCAATCCATCACCAGCACCAACTCCACGGAAGCAGATAGGCGTAAAATGGAGCGCCGACGCCACTCCGGATAGTGGACTCCGCGTATCTCCAACAACACCCCTGTTTGCCGAAATGGAGCAGACTTCAACATCGATCATGAGTAGCTGAGACTTCTTCGACATCAACGCTACTTCTAAGGACAGTGACAGAATGAGACAACACATGATGGCACCAGAAGACCTATCCCGAAATGTGCGCCCAGACACCGATGCCTACCGATGGCCTCCGTGCTAAACTGGAAGCGCATAAGGTCATACTGGATTGGCTGTCACCAATGCCCATTTGGAAATGGGAGAGGATTTTTTGGGAATAGCCCCAACATTCCCAAATGTCCTAACCCATCACAGTGGGATATCTATGCAGCAGAGATTCCTTGCTTGAGCAACCACCGAGGGAAACTACTTTGGCGCCGATTCTGGAAGCACCAGCTCCGCGTTTGTGGTACCAACCCCTCGCATGGTTCTGAACACAAGGGATACGCTGAGCAGCACTTCGCATGCGCTGTTGTACTCAAGGCAATGTGAGTAGCAGACCGCGTGGTGGACAGGGTTACTACTCGTGATTCTGCTCTCCAATCCGCAGCACTCCGATGCCCAGTGGGTATGACTCGCGACAACACTACGGCATGGACCATCATTCGACAGAAGCTGCATGTAACGGATACAACACTGCTACAGAAGCAGTACTACGACACAACTGCCATACCACCAACACTTGGTGATCTTCACACGTGGACCAGATGCGGGTAACAGCATGCACGGATCGGACAACATAGCCACTCATCTGCACGTTACAGCACACTGTTCCCACCATTCACATCTCCAAATCCGACTTGCATCTGCCCGTCCTGGAGTTTGCCTATAAGTATGCTCCTGACGCCGCTACTGGACAGACGCTGTACTTCGTCTGTTACGGACGCCATCCGATCACACCACAACTTGCACCTACCCATATATCACTGACGGCGATACACACCATCCTTCATTGCCATGGACGGAGCCTGCTCACTCCGTGGCAACAGACAGTTCTTGCTACAGTCCAACTAGCTTCCGATTTCATCGCCATCGTCCACCATCTTGTACATCGACCACACAAGCGCCCTCTTGGACATCCAACATCAGCACAAGCACTTGGCAACTCATCACTACCCTTCTTGAGACCATAATCTCGACATCAGCCAACTTCCATCCAAGCTTCAACCTTGCTTCTGCGGGACTATCCCCTTTGAAGCAAATGTTACTTCATTCACCTTCCGCTTCCGCCTACCAGCCACTTAGAAGATCCATACCGCCTTCCATACCAGCTTCTTAAACCCTATCAAGACCAAACACGCTCTACACCAAATGCCAACCACCGTCGCCGCCGGTGTTCATCCACGCCATGTGACAACTACGTGCTCGGACACCGTCATCGTCAGACTGGCACTCTGGAGCTTCTTCTTTGCTGGAAGGGTTATGATACTTCTGAGGCTTCGTCTGTGAACTCGACATGGGTAACGCCCGTCGTCCTCTTCGCGACTACCTTGTCAAGCAGGGTGTTACTTCTACCACCCAGCTTTGAGGGGGGGAAGTGTGAGAGTACGACCCCGTTACTATTTTCCCCTTTCCATATTTCCTTTCTATTTCATTCCTCTTTTTATCCTCATTCATTTGGTCTTTATCTCATCTTATTTGGTTTCCTATTCCTCCTTTTCCATTATCCTTTGGTTTATCCTATTATTATAATTATATCACCGACCAGGCTCGGGATGTACTGGCGCGCTATATCTAGCGTAATCTTGCCGTAATCCCTTATAGCCAATAGCCTCGCGTGGCTATACGCAGGGTGATTCTATTTCTAGAAGGGTCTATTTCCTTTGGATAGGATAAACCTGGTTACCTGATGTACTCTGGAAGTATAAAAGCACCTTGTAGTGATAAATAGTGCAACATTGAGCAAACCTTTCCTCGGGACATTCCATCCTGTAACAGATCGTTACAATTGCAAGAATGGTAACCGAAGCGACAATCGAGTCGTTGTGCGACTCGATAACTGCCCTTCAACTGTATTCTACAACTGCTTACCTTCCTACTTTCTATATATTGCTGTATGCTTGTTCTTTTAATCAATCACTTGTTCTCACATACTCGTACAAGGGTTCAACTACTCAACTTCCGCTACACTTCTCAAGTCTCCTTTTACAACTGGGACTTAGTCTCTGGAAAGATCCTTAGGGCATTTATCAGCCCAACACCTTCCAAGGCAGAGTCTGAAATTGCCGTATTTCCGAGGTCTAACTTCTCCAGTCATGGGAGTCTGTAGAGGTGCCTGCTGCCCTCTGCACTGAAGCCTGCGGAACCTTCCAGGTCAATTGTCTTCAGGTGCGTCATAGTGGACATCAGGGAAAGTAGGCTCCAAGTTTGGTTGAAAGCTACGTGACCGCAAACGCTCTGGCGGGGCAGCGTTTAGCGTTTAAACGCTAAACGCTAAACGCGTGGTAAAACGCTAAACGCTCGGGTAAAATTTTAGGGGCAGCCCGACGAAAAAATCGACCAAAATTTTTTCGCGACATTGCGACCTGGCGAATTCAACTAGACATTCGCCAAGTCGCAAATCCCAACCTAGCGACCAAAAAACGCATCCAATTCTTTTGCCCCGCTCAACCGCACAGCACCCTGTTCATCTACGGCCACTCCAACCTAACCACTTTCTCCCCTTCTTCCATCACAATCTCTTCTCCATGAGAAACGGGAACCCTAGAGTTCCGCGCGACATAGCCGTAGATCAGATTTAGTCGTCATTCTCTCATCTCCCACGCCCACTCACCCTTGCCACCTAATTTCGCGCTAAGTTAAGGGCCCACGCCCATGTCGACCCCCCCTAATGGTGCTGCAGACGCTAATCCTACAGCGTCTGCAGCGTCAAATATTTACGAGGCAGAGTCTAATCATGATGTTTACAAGCATTACAAAGTTAGAGTTAAGGAGGCCGGGGTCGCCACAGCTAGGGTGGAATGTCGTTATTGCGGGCTGTCTTTTGTAGGCATTCCCAACCGGTGCGCTATGCATTTCGCGGAGTGGGAAGGACAGGGGCGGCGGGAGGTCAAGGAATGTCCCTCGGCGCCAAAGGAGGTGAGGGAGGCAATGCAGGCACTATACGAAGGGAAGGCGTCTGTCAAGGCCCAGAAGCGTAAGGAGGTCGCGGATGCGGTGGAGGCCGTGGGGGGAGGGGGAAAGCGGGGCAAGATAACTACGTATTTCAGCAACGGCGTGGCATGTGCTAAGCGTGAGGCGGATGCGGCATTGTGCCTCATGTTTGCAGCCCTCCGCATCCCAGAACGTCATGCCGACCACCCACTCTTCGTCGATGCCGTGCATGCGGTCGCTCGTGCGGGAACAACGTACGTGCCGCCCAAACGCACGTACATTGGAGGAGCGGGGTTGAAGGAGTGTCGCACCCGCATCGATCTCGCCCTTGATGCACTCAAACAGAATTGGGAGAGGCATGGCGTCACCGTGGCTTCAGACATGATGACAGACCGGTGCGGGAGGCCGCAAGCGAACGTCATGTTAGTCAATGACTTCGGCGCCATGTTTGCCGACTGCATTGACTGCCGCATGGAGACGAAGACAGGCGGGTACATTGCCGGCATCCTCCGCCCTATCATCCAGAAAATCGGGCCTGCGAATGTGGTGGCGCTATGCACGGATGGGGGGAGTAACTACGGCAAGGCCTGCAAGGTGTTGAGGGAGGAGTGGCCGCACATTGAGCATGTGCCGTGCGCCACTCATGTCCTAGACCTGCTCATGGAAGACGTGGGAAAGCAGGCGTGGGCGAAGAGGGTGGTTGAGGGTGCGAACGAGGTGATAAATTACGTCCGCAATCACCACTGGACGAGGAACTTCTTGCGCGAGCCAGGGGAGCTGAGGGGCAAGGTGCTGCAGCTGTTGAAGCCAGCGGGCACCCGGTTCGGAACCCAGTACATTGCAGTGTCGAGGCTTGTAGACCTCCACGGGAAGCTGACTGTGTTGGTGGCAGGCGAAACGTGGAAGGCGTGGGCCGTAGGGAAGCAGAAGGCAGCGGCCGATTCCATCCAGAGCATTGTGCTTAACCAGGCTTGGTGGGCAGCAGCTGAGTTCTTTGTCAAGCTGTTGAAACTGCCTTACCTTGTGATGCGGTCGACTGACTCCTCGGCCAAGGGGATGATGGGGCAGATTTATGAGCTCATGCTCAAACTCACTGTGGACGTGACTGATCTGTTGAAGAAGGAAGACTTGCAGCTGGCGCCGGAGGATAAGGAGGGGATTGGGGAGATCATCCAGCATCGGTGGGACGTCAGCATGGCTTGCCCACTGCATGCTGTTGGCCGGATCCTCAACCCGGCCAACCAGGTTGCTAAGATCTTTGGCCCCGACAAGGAGTGCACCGACCTGTTTAAGGAGTTCATTGGCCGATACAGCAGCACCATCACCATCGATCGTAAGGAGGCAAAGGAGAAGAGTGCGGTAGTGGTACTGCAGGAGGGAGTGACTGCATTCCTGAAGCTGAGGGGTTCCTTCGGCAAACCCGACGCAATAATGCAGCGGCAGAAAGTGAAGGAGGGGAGTCTAAGTATGGAGGACTGGTGGACCTGGCACGGGACCGACCACCCCGAGCTGGCAGAGCTCGCGTGTCGTGTGCTCACGCAGCCGGTGTCTGCATCCAGCTGCGAGCGCGGGTGGGCAGTGTGGGAATCGGTGCACACTGCACGCCGCAACCGTCTCGGGCCCGAGAAGTGCCGGGACTTGGTGTTTGTTGCGCACAACTGGAACGTTGTGCGCAACTGGCACAAAACCAGCGAGGAGAGTAGGGCGGTTCTTGCGGGGAACATCCCGGATGCTCCCATTCCAAAAGGATACAACGTCGATGAGGAGGGGCAGTTAGAGGAGGATGAGTATGGAGATGAGCCCGTGCTCGAGGACGAGTATGGGGAGGAGGAGGAGGAGGAGTAGGAGGAGATGAGGGAGTGGCGGCGGCGGTTAAGAAGCATGGGGGGCTTTTGGGTAGGAGGGTGGAGGAAGGAAGACGGAGGGTGCTGTTGATTAGAGGGTGGTAGTAGGTAGTACATGTGGTTGTCGTTGACATGTGGATTTGACATGCCAATTTTTTTTTATGTGATATAATTTGGAGGAAAATTGTTGTCAACCATAATCCCCTTGCCTCCCCCTACCTATCCCAGGTTTTTTTACCCTGCCCGGAATTTTTTTTCCGGCTGCCCGAGAGTGCGTTTACCTTAGCGTTTAGAAACTCAAGCAGCAGCGTTTAGCGTTTAAACGCTAGCGTTTAAACGATGCGTTTAAAACGCTAAACGCGTTTGCGGTCACGTAGGTTGAAAGTAGGCTCCAAGTACCTGAGGAAGATAGACCTGGAGGCTTCAGAAGGTGAGGCCGTCAGACGCATTCAATATAACACGTCTCGGCAGAAACCAAACTTGTGAAATGAACTGGCGTACATTCTCTCTGTTGCTGACAAATGGGCGGACATTAGTGTGCCGCATGAGGATGAATGACGTAGCACCAGCGATGATCAGCGCAACAGATAGTGCTGCCACCGCCACTTTAACCATCTGGGCCATGGCGTGAGGTGAAGGCCTGGATGCTGAGCAGTATGGGTAACCAGAACAAGACCGTTACGACAGAAAATGGGGCGGGGCAGAGAGAGCGCGAGGAAAGGAGCAACAGGAGAAGAGAGTGGATGTTCTGAGAATGTATGTATGGTTTAAATTAATCATAGAACGGGTTCAACGTGCACGAGCAAGCAAATTTGGGACCAGATCGATGAGAGGGCATAGGAGCAAGAAGGAGGAAGAGGTAGTGACTAGCATGTGCAGGGAGACAGGTGGGGAACTGGAATAGAGGAGGGAATGGACGGCAATGGAGGGGACAGCAGCGTGATGGAACGGGCTGGATATGAAAGGTTTGTGTGCGGTTTTCTTATGCCGGAATCCCAAGAAATGATTGGTAAAAGAAGCAGCAGGAGTGGGGATTGCAATGAGGAGAGAAAAAGACAGCGATGGTGAGGCAAGGGGTTGGTGGGTGGTAGGGGGGTGTAACGAGTGGAGATCGAGCCGTAACGCTGAAATGTTGAAGGAAGAGAGAATGAAGGGGCGATATGGGACCGGCAGGGAAGGTAAAGAAATGCCAGATTTGATACGAAACAAGGCTGAAGATACAAGGCGGAAGGGGAGACTGGAGATAGTGCATTTAAGAGGGGGGATGGAGCTGAGTAGAAGAACTTGGGCACTCAATGGAGAGGGAGGGAACGGCGTGGAGTATTCTGAATATACCGATGACATACTGCCTGAGTAAAAATGTCCTTGTTGTTCGAAAAGGTTTCGCAGACTGCAGCACTGTGATTTCAAGAAGGTGAACGCGATTGTAGCTCCACGGCTATTGTAGCTCAGTTTTGCAGCAGGCGAAGCGGGGTGGTGGATAAAGCGACAGCTTGGAGACAGTGGAGACGCGGAGGAGATGGAAGCCACTGACTACGCGGAGAAAGGAGGGGGGCGGAACACGCGGAAGACAAGACGATGGCAAACGAGGAAGGATGGGTTGGAATGAGCACAGAGCACGAGATTATACATGGCCCATGGCTGAGGGGAATGGGGTGCTGGGGCATACACGAGTAAGCGAGCGGGGGCGAGGGAGGAAGAGAGGCAAGTCGCCCCAACGAGTCACAACAGAGGCAGCGGCATATGAAAGGTGTGACAGCAGTGAGGGACCATCATGCCACGGCCTTGTTTAGCGTGCTCAAGGGTGTGCCGCCGCCACAGCCAAGGCGAGGAACGAGGCAGGCATGCCGCAAACGGCTGCACACTGGTGACGACAAACTCTGAAGCTGCTCCGCGAGGCATTACGCCAGCGGGTCCGAGGGCATGCATGTCGCCATTGCATGATTCAAGCGTGCACCGCGATCCCATAGTCAACCATTCTCCTCTCTGCTATTCCTCGTACAGTACGGCTGTTGACCTTCCTTCGGCTCCGTACACGCGACCCCAGGCTGCCGTTCGGCGCGGCATGCGTCCCAAGCATGACTCGCTACGATGGATTGCGACGTCGCTTCATGACGACCGAGGCGAGGCGGCATCGTATGACGAACGACAGCGAGGTGTTCGACGCTACTACTAAGTTTCCATTGAAAGTGGAACGACCTGCATACTAGTAGATAAGCGCGAAGGGGAGGCCAGGAGAGCCTCGAACTTAGAAGCAGTACGGTTGACTTCATTTGGGGTGGTCGCAATAACAGTGATTGAGCGCGACAGGTACTTGATTGGCGAGCATGAGGGATGCGAAGGAAGAATTGGAGTCAGCTAAAGAATGGCTAACAACACGTGTATCAGACGACTTTTCATTGCGTGTGCATTTGAAACAGCTCGTGAAACGAGTGCATTTGAAGGGAGTCGCACCGAATTGTGACAGGCTGTTCGCCTTTGTTGCATCAAATCTGGTTACCGTCGCCACCCTTGGCAGCCAGGCAATTTCTACGCCTATTGACGACAGCGAAACCCTGCTTGTTCACATATTTCGTTACCAGAATGCTCGACCAACCTCACAAAGGCTGGATCCACTTCCAACCTTGCTCACTTCCCTCCAGCTGACGAATCTTTTCCCCTACTCTTACCTCACCACCCCAGCCCCAGCTCATCCCTGCCCAACCACTACCAGACCAGCAAATTGGGGTTACAATCTGATTGTCTCCAAGCACCCTGGTTGCGCCACGTGTTGCGATCATGTTTAGTACACGCGGCCACCGAGTTGCATCGGATGCTCCAGCTAGTCTCTGCCTCGGAGACTCCGCATCATAGATGATTCATGCTCCCTCCCTCCGAGTTTCGACGCAATGCGTTGCGACACCACGCGTTGTAGCTGCTACCGCAATGCTTGATGCGACCGATGACTCGCCACATTCCCGAAGGAATCGCTCGCGAATCGGCATGTAAACTGAGTCGCTACTGCATGTGGAGTGAAAGCCTTAAGGGCGAGAGAACAAACTGATGGGCGTGTTGGTTCGAGTAGCGACGTACACGAGGCATCATGATGTCTCTCTCGCGCCCATGTGTCGTGTGTGCTCCTTGCGCCGACGCCACGGTGCCGTCGTTCAACACTGCAAGGTGGGCTGGTGCGATGCGAAGGCGAACAGCGGCCGAAAGAGAAGGCGAAACGGAGCAGCTGGCGGGTAGCGGAACGCAAAAAGGTGAGAAGCATAGGTGATGGGTTGGATTACGGGGCAGATTAGGGGAAGGTCTACTCTTTCTACTGCCTACTTTCCTTCCGTTGCATTTCTGTCTTTGTTCGTCCTCTGCTTACCAGCTCTTTGTGCGTGACTATTAGCCTCACCCCTCCCTTTCCGTTCACCCCCCTGTGTGCAACCTGCTCCCCAATCCTCGGTTCGTATGCGCCGACATTCCGAACAGTCTCTTGCACTATTTCGTTTGGCCAGGCTGAGCTGCAAGCTTTCTCAGCGCTGACCGCTAAGCCAATCCTCATAGCACATCACTTCCCGCTGTGAAGCCAGTCTTCCAAAATCAGGTAAGGCGACTCTGCCGTGTCAAGTCATGACCATCATGTATTCCCGCTCTATACCGCTGCACCTATTGGAGCCATCAATCGGTTCGTCTACCCACTTTAACCACTTACGTGCCCAGCTCTCGACCGGATTCCTTACCTCTTCACACCTTTTACTGAACCATTTACTCCGCACATGCCTGTGATGACTTATATCCAATTCACTGTTCCAGTTTGTGTACCTGTTCCTCACAACCTGCTCCCTTGAAGTAGTTTGTGTATGTACAGCAATGTTACATGTCACCTGTGTGCTATGAGGATCTATTTGCCACACCTTTTTGCCGTTTAGTTTGTACCCGTAATTTTTCTTTCTTTGTCCATTCTCTTTTACGTCTCTGTTTTGCCCCTTGTGCCTCTACTTCCCCCTCTCTAACAGGCAGAGTTTTGTGTGTGTCAGGCTGTTTGTGCAAGTTTGTTGGTTGGGTCTGCAAGACACAGGAAAGATGGCAGGAAGTGACGAGCTGATGGATGTAGTGAATGCATTGAGAGAAGAGGTCTCATCGACAAAACGGGAGCTGGCATTGACTAAAGAGGAGCTGGTAGCAACGAAAGGAGAGCTGGCTGCAATAAAAGGGGAGCTGGCAGAAATGAAGATTCTGAGAATTCTAAGGGTAAGTGATGTACAATGAAGGCAGAGCAAGGACGGCCATCAAAAGGTTTTGAAGGTAAGGGGTTGACTTGGTTTTCCAGTATAGTGGAGAGATCTAATGGGGTTATGCTCTCGTCAGGAAATTCGCTCGGACTAGTGCTCGTACCCTATCCCTTTTTCAACCTTTCAGTCTGTCTTGCCTTTCCTTCGTGCTGCAGGACATTAACTGTACATCGGACGACCCGGATTTGCATTTCAGAAACGTCTACCTCTTAAACTCAATCGTCGACCACTTCGGCATTATGACCCATTTGAAGTGGATTGACCTTGAAGGATCCACAGGCTTTGGCCCAGGCATCCAACACCTGTTCAGGCTGCCACGGCTGGAGAAGCTGAATCTGGGGGAGACAGACATTCAGGACAATGGCCTGGAAGGCATTGATGCTGCGGGCAGCCTGGAGTATCTGAGCCTCAGTGGCACGGATGTGAGTGCTGCTGGCCTGCGACACCTGTCAAGCCTCTCCTCGCTGAGGACTCTTGAGCTTGATAGTTGCTGGTTGGTCACATCTGCTGGCATGTTCTGTTTAAGAAAGCTCACTGGGCTGGAATCGCTCCATCTAGGTGGTACAGCAGTGAAGGATGATGGGCTGAAGTACTTGACCTCCCTGACCAAGCTGAAAGAGCTGGGGTTACCTGCTGGAATTACGGATGCTGGCATGGAGCATGTCAAGCACCTGACAGCCTTGGAACAGTTGGATTTGAGGGACTGTAGGCTGGTGACTCAGACAGGTGTGGAGTGCTTGAAAAGCTTACCACGGCTGAGGTAAGTAGCAACAGAGGTGGGAGGCTCGAATCTCCTGTGAAATCCATGCTTCCTGGAGTGTTAGTGGTTGACTTTCTGACCGGTGTGATAGGCTGTACTTCAGGCACTTGACATTGAATATTGTAAGATAGATGTATGAGTAATGTAGTCATCAAGCAATGCCACATTGCGCGTATCGTTGACTAGCTGGCATGGCATACACCAGTGTTCAAATTATATAAGTTATAATTTAATATAGGCTTGGTAGGTTGTTACTGAACCTTTCTGTAGGGGGTACAAACCCCTCCTTGTACTCCCCTCTCTTCTAATCCAACACTTTTCTCTCCTCAACTTTCCTAGCACCTAAAACCTCTCGCCATTCTCATGGCTCCTCCTAGCTCCTAGCTAAACCTTGTGCCATTCTATGGCTTCCTAGCTAAGCTAGTTTCTGACATGGTATTAGAGCAGTTCGTTCCGCGTGGGCCTGCTCCTCGCGTTTCCGCTGCGTGCTCGTTTCTCTCTCTATCTCGCGCTGCCATGGCGGCCGCGTCAAGCTGCTGTGGCCGCGTCGTCGTGCCGCGGCGCCGCCGTCGACGTCCATGGCGCCCGCGTCCAGCTGCTGTGGCCGCGCCGTCGTGCCGCAGCTCCGCCGTCGCGTCAAGATGCTGTCGCGACGTGACGGCGCCGTCACGCTGCCGCGGCGTCTACGCGACAGCACGCGGTCGGCGTAACGGCGACGTCGTGCTGCCGTCGCAACGTCGACGCCCCGCTGCGGCATCGACGCCGCTCCATGACGGCGTCGTTGGGCTGCAGCCGGCCGCGTGACGCTTGTGGCGCCGCTAGACCGGCCGCCCGCATGTCAGCCTGTGGCGCCCCCCCCCCCCCCACCCCCCTCCTTCCCTTGTGCCCTCTTCCATTCCGCAGACGACGGCTGACTCCCGCCGGCCGTCCCACCGTCGCGGGGCCTGGCCACGTCACCGAGAGGTGCGGGTGCCGCCGCCGCTGCCGCTGTTGTCGAAGCCGCCGCCGCCGCCGCTGTCGCCGCTTGCGTCGGGGCCACGCAGCCGCCGCTGTCGACACTGCCGCCGCTGCCGCCGTCGCCGCCGCAGCCCCTGCGGTCGACGTCGCCGCCTCACGCGCCGTGGGGTCGACCGACCTAGAGTCGCTGTCACTGTGGCTGGAATGGGGGTGCTAGGTTAGGGGGTGTGGGTGTGTGTGGGCATGTGACTACCAAGCCTAGGGGGTGTGTTCAAATTATATAAGTTATAATTTAATATAGGCTTGGTAGGTTGTTACTGAACCTTTCTGTAGGGGGTACAAACCCCTCCTTGTACTCCCCTCTCTTCTAATCCAACACTTTTCTCTCCTCAACTTTCCTAGCACCTAAAACCTCTCGCCATTCTCATGGCTCCTCCTAGCTCCTAGCTAAACCTTGTGCCATTCTATGGCTTCCTAGCTAAGCTAGTTTCTGACAACTAGTGCTTTAACTTTGCAAGTTGCAAGTGCAATGTGACAGTTCTATTTGTCAAACATGTGTATTAGTTATGTTTGCATAGACTGTATAGGGTCACCTCTTAGAGGGTACAATACTTAGGTATATCTATCTGTACTCTCCCACTAGTCCATCATTCACTTCTCTCATTCTGATATGGTATCACACGTAGGTTAGGATCCCCCACCTACCGCTTCCGCTCGTCCTCTAGCTAGGCCCTGCCGCGCCCCTCCTGGGCCCAGTCGCGGACCCCTAGCCACGTCGCGACCCCCCTAGGCCACGTCGTGCCCCTAGCCCTGCCGCGCCCCTCCTGGGCCCCGTCGCGCCCCCCTAGCCCCGTCGCGACCCCCCTGGGCCCCGTCGTGCCCCTAGCCCTGCCGCGCCCCTCCTGGGCCCTGTCGCGACCCCCTAGCCCCGTCGCGACTCCCTAGCCCCGTCGCGACCCCCCCCTGGGCCCCGTCGTGCTCCTAGCCCTGCCGCGCCCCTCCTGGGCCCCGTCGCGACCTCCTAGCCCCGTCGCGACCCCGCTGGGCCCCGTCGTGACCCCCTAGCCTCGTCGCGACCCTCCAGGGCCCCGCTACGCCCCACGCCCTGTAGCGCCCCTCCTGGGCCCCGTAGCGCCCCTCCTGGGCCCCGCCACGCCTGCAGGCCCCGTTGCCCCCCCTGCCCGGCCCCGTCGCGCCCGCCCGGCCCCGTCGCACCTGCCCGGCCCCGTCGCACCCGCCCGGCCCCGTCGCACCCGTCCGGCCCCGTCGCCGCCGCCCGGCCCCGTCGCACCCGTCCGGCCCCGTCGCGCCCGCTCGGCCCCGTCGCACCCGCCCGGCCCCGTCGCACACTGCCCGGCCCCGTCGCCGCCGCCCGGCCCCGTCGCACCCGTCCGGCCCCGTCGCGCCCGCCCGGCCCCGTCGCACCGGCCCGGAGCCGTCGCACCTGCCCGGCCCCGTCGCACCCGTCCGGCCCCGTCGCGCCCGCTCGGCCCCGTCGCCCTCGCCCGGCCCTGTCGCCCCGGCCCAGCCCCGTCGCACCCGCCCGGCCCCGTTGCACCGGCCCGGCCCCGTCGCACCCGCCCGGCCCCGTTGCGCCCTGCCCGGCCTCGTCGCACCTGCCCGGCCCCGTCGCACCTGCCCGGTCCCGTCGCGCCGGCCCGGCCCCGTCGCGCCCGCCCGGCCCCGTTGCACCGGCCCGGCCCCGTCGCACCTGCCCAGCCCCGTTGCGCCCTGCCCGGCCTCGCCGCGTTTGCCGGGCCCCGCTGCACCGGCCCGGCCCCTGCGCTCATCCCTGCCCCGGCCCCTTCATCCTCACTGGTACGGTTCTCCCCCCCCCCCCCCCCCCCTCCCTGCACCATCCTGCTCCGCACTGCACTGCCCTGCACCGCCCTGCACCGCCCCGCACCGCATTGCACTGCCCTGCCCCGCACTGCACCACCCTGCACTGCTCTGCTTTGCACTGCACCTCACTGCACCGTACTGTCCCGTCCTGCACTGCCCCTGATGGCGGCGGAGCTTCGCTTCGACGCTGAAGGCCAGCCTCTGGAGTTCGAGGCGTGGCTTGCCGACCTCCGGCGCCAACTCACTGGCCAGCGGCAGGATGGTGAACCGCTTTCCGCACACCTTGACGGTACGCTCCCCTGCCCAGACCCCCCTGCTATTCTGCCCACTGACTCCACACCCACTGAGCGCGAGTCCACTGCTGCCACTGCCCGTGCGCGCTCTGTCTGGCTTTCTCGCGATGCTGTTGCCCAGCTTGCCATTAGCAACGCCCTTCCCCCGTCCGAGCGCCCTCGCTTTAGGTCCCTCACTACTGCTCAGGCATACTTAGATGCTGTCATCAAGCGCTATTCCACCCCTCCGGCTGCCTCGGTGGGTCGCCTGATCCTCCCGATGCTCTTTCCTGACCTTGCATCTTTCCCCACTGTCTCTGACCTCGCTGCCCACCTGCGCTCGATAGATGAGACCTGGCGCGCTGCGTGCACTGACGCACAGCTTAGAGCCCACCAGCCGCCCATTACCTCTACCCTTTACCTGCTTGCCACCCGCCTCCCTGACCGCCTTGCTGTCGCCCGCGACCACTTCCTTAGCATTCACCCCGCAGACCTCACCCTCACTGACTTTGTAGACACCCTGACTGTGATTGAGACCCGCCACCGCTCCATCGCCCAGGCGAGCGGTACCGTGCCGGTCCCTATCTTTCAGGGTTGTGCCCCTGCTCAGTGTACCTTCTCTGACGGCTCTGCCGCAGTGGCTGAGACCGCTGCTGCAGCGCAGTTTCGTTCGGGGAAGGGCCGCCGCCCCAAAGTTGGGCGCGGCGGAGGAGGCAAGGGTGCGGGAGGGGGTGGTGGTGGAGTCGGGTCGTCTGGTGCTAGAGCGGACAAGGGGACCCTGCCCAGTCCAGCTGAGCCCCCGCCCCTGCAGTTGCAGCAGCCGCAGCAGCCGCCGCAGTCGCAGCCTTCGCAGCAGCCGCAGCAGCCGTCGCAGACGCGGCAGACGAGTGTCCTCCCGCCCGGGTGGCCCGACGTTGGCGGTGGCCGGGCGCGTGGTGGTGTGCCGAGTGATGGCTCTGGAGGCGTGCGTTGCCAGTACCAGATCCAGACCGGTCCTCGCCGCGGCTTCGTTTGCGGTAAGATCGGTCACTCCACTCCCCGCTGTTTTCGTCGCCTGGACGACCTCTTTCGTCAGCGCTTCGTCCCGTCGCCAGACCTCCCGGACTACACAGTTTGCTTAGTCGTAAGATTCAGATTTTTGACATGGACATGGATGCCATTGTTTCTGCTCTGCATGTGATGTATGCTGATGACTCTAGTGTGCTTCCCGCTTATTACTCACTGTCGGCTAGTGTAGGTGTGCCTAGCTTAGCCTCCCCTGCTGCGTCAGGCGTAGGATCCCCTGCTTTGTGTAGTCTTGGTGCTTCCGCCGTCGTTCCGTCGCCAGACGCCTCTGCTTCGCTTTCCTTCACCCTGGACTCTGGCGCTTCCCGGTGTTTCTTCCGCGACTTCACCACCCTGACGCCGCTTCCTGTTCCTGCTGCCGTTTCTCTTGCTGACCCCTCCGGCGGTCCGGTAGTCGCCCGTAGTTCCACCACCCTTCCCTGTCCGGCGGTTCCTTCGGGCACTCTTACAGGTCTGCATATCCCCTCGTTCTCTAGGAACTTAGTTGGTGTCGGCTGTCTCCAGGACCTTGGCGTCACCACTACGTTCCCTGGTCACGAGCGGTATGCTGTCTGTACCGAGGCCGCCACTGGTGCCCCCCTGTCCACGTTCCCCCGGGACCCGGTGTCCGGCTTGTTCACTCTGGACACCGTGACCCCCCCGGCTGGAGCGCTCACCCAGGTTGCTGCTGCCTGCTCCTGTCGGTCCCTCACTCACCCGACTCTCCTTTGGCACCACCGCCTAGGTCACCCTGCGCTCCCGTGTCTGCGTCACATGTCCCAGCACGGTCTTGTCCTTGGTTTCCCAGGTTCTCTCCCCGCGTTTCCCTCCTCCCCAGCCCCACCTTGCACGCCTTGTGTCGAGGGTCGGCTTCGCCGTGCCCCTCACTCCTCCTCGTTTCCCCCTACCGCCGCGCCGCTGCAGACCCTGCACCTGGACGTCTGGGGCCCTGCCCCCGTCCCTGGGCCGCGTCGAGAGCGCTCCTTCCTTGTGCTTGTCGACGACTTCACTCGTTACACCACAGTCTTTCCCCTGGAGCGCAAGGCCGACGTGCCTGGTGCTCTCATCCCCT